TCAAACACACATGTGACAATGTCATCGCGTTCAGTTGACGTTTGATGGGGCTTGAGTTGACTGATGATCTCCGGCCAATTGGGGTTGCACGTCATGGTGACGAAGAGACATGGCTTCCCGTACTTGCGCACAATTGCCATGGCATTGAAGTAGCATTTCTTTATGTAACGCTTGCCGCCAGTAAAGCTTGAAGGCACGATGGACTTGATGCCGACGTTGTGGAGCCCTGAACGTCTCTCGGCGGCCTCCTTTACGCTTGCGTACAAATCGAATCGCAACTTGTCTCCGTTCTGCGAAATGTAGCGCAGCCTGTTGGTTTCCACGCGAACGAAGCCGACCGTAGTGTACATCTTGAACAGCATGGAGGATCGGTGCAGCATGTCGGAGAAGTCGTCGCCGTCTCGTTGTTGAAGCCAGTAGTTGAAGAACGCACGGAGAGACAATGATTTCCCGTCGGGCTTCGTCATGGTATACTCCCATCCAGGACCTCCCATTGGAAACAGGAGGGGAAACTGCAACGCGTCGTGAAGTGGATTCGTTTCTCGAATGGTTGTGAACTGGTTCGAGTTCAGACTTTGCAGAACCACGTGACGACCTTCTGTCGGTTCGCTGCCGTCTCCCTCCATGATAACCGCAAGTTGAACCACGGTAGGCAAGTTGTGTGTTCGGGCCTGCGCGCCACCAACAGCCTTCAGGACAATTGGACGATTGCCCCCTGATGCCCCGTCCGCTTCCGCTCGACGCAAACGTTCTTTGGCAGTTGCATACGTTCTCGCCAATGGGTTGTGGAGATCCATCACTCGCTGTATCGTGGCAGTGTACCGCGAACTGAACGCCGGAAACATGTTTCGTCGGTGTTGAAGTTGCTCCTCGCTGGTGTGCATGTAGATTTGGGTAAAACTTGGTTGCCGCAGGTTTCCACTTCTGTTCAGGCTGGGTTGCAACGGACCAATGTTGTGGGTCAGCTGGCCTTGAATGCAATACGTCTTGGGACCGCTGCCGCTGTGCTTGACCTCGTTGGTTCCAATGGAAGTGAAGTTGAACTGAGCGTTGTACTGACGGATGTGCTCGATGAAGTTGCGCTGCTTGAAGAGATCTTTGAACGCTTGCATTTTTGGCGAGTCGGGGAAAACGTAAGGATCCATCTTGACCTTCAAACAACAGGGCAGGTTCTTGTAGTCGTGGGGTGTCAACTTTGCTCGGCAGTGCGGGCATGTCTTCGTTTTCCCAGAAACTTGCAGCCGCGTGTGACCACCTTCCTCAAACACTTCGTACGATTGTCGTCCGACGTAATTCACAGGGTTTCGGCATCTTGAACGGGATCTTGAGGTAGGAACGGTGGATCATCGCCAAGGTCGATGTCGTGGAGGGCCTCCTTGATGAATTGAACCTCCCGATGAATGGCCGTAGGTTCTTCCAGTGGTTGAAAAGGATACGGCTCGAGCGTCGGATGAAGGTCAATGTCGTCGAGCACTCCCTCGACGAAATCAATTTCGTCTTGTAGTGCCTCCGAATCGTCCAATGGCTGAAATGGACGCAGGTTGAGCTCAACGTCCAAAGCAGCCATCTCTTCACGGCTCATCGCAGGGCCTTCTGGTATGATCGGTGGCTGAACGGGAACAAACTCGGTCAAGAAGTCTTCCACCAACGGTCATTCATCAGCTTGGTGAGTTTGAGATTTCTTCACGCGTTTGGTTTGCCGGTACTCCTTTCGCAATGCGAAGTTGATCCCGACAGTAGCGTTGACGATTCAAAACAGTTTCCTTGACCTCTCCACGATACGTTGCGTTGCTCACCCACTGCTTTTTCGGACGTTTAGCCGACGTAGTCCCGGACTCCGGCCCCGAGGCCAAACGCTTTGCATGGACATAAACATAGAGCAGAGCATGGACATGAACACCGAGAAGAACATGCATGTTCTTCTCGGTGTTCATGTCCATGCTCTGGTGCATTCCAGAAGAGCACGCTTGGGATTGCTCCAAATCTCCGTGGGAAAAACACCAAAAGAGGCTTTTGTCCTGCTGTTAACAGATTTTTCCCCCCACGAGGAGTGAGTCAATCAGAGCCGACCACGTCACAAGTGGTCTGGCTTCTGCCCCTCACTTCAGCACTAACGACTTCTGTTTTTGCTCTGTTCTGTGTGCTCTTCCTCCACAGTCCGTGTGCTCTCCTCCTGGGTTTCTCCTCTGCCAAGTGCTTCCTCCCTTTCGCCCTTCAATGCGTGGAAGTGGCAGATTCAGTTCATGGTTGACTCGTACGTAACAACTTAAATAAAGCTGCACATACCGAAATATCCCACCAAGAATGGTACACCATGATTTGAAGGAATCTAGGACCTTTCATTCTTCATGGTGATGTGTTTGAATCCTGTTCCCACATCTCCCCATAGGAGGATTTCCCTGGACACGAGAAAATACCCCACTGTTGTTGCTTTACCTCGTATAATGTAATTGGTCGCTCTAGAGTTTGTCACGTCATCTATACAAGACAATGCATCGAAGTGGTTGTTAGGGCTGGACCACCTCCGTGTTGAGCGCTGGCTTTCACTATAATGGGGGGAGGCCGTGGTCGAGTGAATTGTTTCAGTGTAGCCGGGATGGGGACGTTTACACTAAAAGCGATTGTTAGGGTGAGGACCATGTCCGTGTTGAGCGTTCGAAGTGTGGATTGTGTTGGAGTAGCGTGCAAGGCGTTAGCTTAGATACCGTGTCAAGACGTAAATACAAGGTTGTTCATAGTACAGATGTATGTGCACGGCTGAAACAGGCTAGTGATCGCTGCAGAGCAAGCCACGTCGTGAAAGCTATCGTATGTATACGTGGTCACGGCTGAACAACGATCTTGGCGAGATGGTTGATTAATTCACAGGAGGTTGCTTTGCATTGTACAGTGTAGAGAGTTGATGTACTCGCTAGATAATACCACGACAAGTAGTCTGTAGTTGGTCAGGGAGACAGGCCGGACTACAGCCTGAGCGAGGTCGCGGGCGATAAATGGTGTTCTCGTGAGGGAGCTCATTTATATTGCTCAATGGGACCACGACCTCGCTAAGGTTGTGGTCCTGCCGTGATCACGTAGACATACTGTAGTCACGACATGCATGCTCCTCTGCAACGACCACTACCCACTTAACTGTACTGTAGAACCGGGTTCACAGAAAGTTGGTATGCATCGTACTAATAAAGTATAAAGCGTTTGGGCTATCTCTAAAGAATACCACAGCTAGTAGTCTACAGTTGTTCAGCGATACCGGCTGGACCACGGCCAGGACGATGTCGTGGTCATAGAATATTGAGCTTTAGATTAGCGTATACGGCATCGATAACAGTGTGCTGCTACCTTGTAAAGATAACTCGACCACGACCTCGGCATGGGCGTGGTCGAAGAATAGTGGGGATGCCTAGGGACAGTGGGGTAGAATTCATACCTAGCGCGGCTGCAACAAGGATAGAGGACTGCACCGCTGATATGTGTACAAGTATTCACTACGAGATTGTTTTTCTATCATACAGCTAACGACGCAGCATTAGCGGTGCATTTCGATGAGTTTCTATGAAAGCACAGCCACCGGCTTTCACTTTAATTGATGGGGATGTGATAAAAACTCCGTGGCGTTTGTGGAACACGGGGACAAGGGTGAGCTACACGGTACTGTTTAAATAAAATGGTGAAATCCACCACTTATTTTGATTAACAATAATTATTTATTTCTGCAACTACCCGATACAAAAACGACATGTCTGCGAAAAAGTACCAGGTTGTGCTAGCGCAGCACTGCATCCATGAATACAGGAGCTTCGTTTCTGAGAAAAGAGATCGAGGACACATAGTAACTAGCGTGGTCAAGGACAATCCAGTCGACAGGAGCGGTCTCAAACAAGTTGCGGCCATTCTACAGTGGTCCAGGTGGCGCATCGACTGGGGATCGACTGGAGAAAGTCCGTCAGTAAAAACCTGACCAGGTTCATGGATAAGTACCATACTAGGGAGATTTCGGAGACGAGTATTTATCTTTATCCTTAAAATAACCTCTGAAGCTTTATAGAGTTGAGGAAAACTCCGGAACTTAGTAACAGAATCCCTCAAACGGGTCCATTTTGGGGATTCGAATCCTCGACCGTGATTGGCCAAATCTGTTGATTTGGTGCACGCTTTTTTGTTGGCACGTCGAATGGAGCGTGGAGGATGGCCCACGTGAAGTGGAGGTCAATCAAAGGCGCGGTGGGAGCGAACAAATTAATGACAACCTCCATCACTATGCATAGTGACGCAGAATCCCGTGCATCATCACATGTAGGAACTATGAAAAGCAACTTAGGCGGTCTCCACGCCGCAGCGTAGTCGGCCGCGCCTGGCAGTACATCCGGCCGGAGTTGCACGAGAGGCTGATCAACGATACCTTTGAAGCACCAGTTAAGTACTAGTAATCCTCTGCAGCTGGCGCGTTGGTGCCAGTTGCCGAGGCGTGCTACAGTGCTTTAGATGCAAGCCACTCCTTACCTTCGTAGCCACGCCTTTCCGAACGTCCTACAGATAGAACAACTGAACTAACGTTAACACAACATGAGTTTCAATCACTTCATTGCTTCGTATGCCTCTGTCGTTCCTACTAGCCCCAACGCTTGAACGACGAATGACCCATGGGACCACTTCCACCATGCCCTGGCCGATCATCCACGAAGTCCTCGATTTTGGCTCCATCTAGGTACAGATAGGGATAAAATGTTTCTCCGAAATCGACGATATAAAATCACTTGCTTTTACTGTTAACGTTAATTCAATTTTTACGGGAAAAGAAAAAAGAGAAGTCATCTCCGAAATCTCCTTACTAGTAGTAATGGATAAGTTCTCTTATTCCAAGTAAGTGCAGTAGTACTGTATTAGTATGATTACAACAGCAAGTACTACATTGATGGAAGAAAGGTTAAGACACAAGATAATTACTTTCGTTCATACCGAAGGAAGTGAAGTGAGGCTCTGTAATTTTGGAATTGGTCCCAACAAACAGGTTAAAGAGGATATGCATACTCATTTGCGGCAGAAATGACGATGACTTCCAGCTATATAAAAATTCTTAGTGTCAAACCTGGTATTCAGAATAGGACATTTCACAAAGAATGAGTTTTGAAGACTTAAACTTGCAGCAACACACCCTAGTAAGGTGTCATTGCACCATTGGCCTCTACGACAGCTACACAACGTCGTGGCATCGACTCGACCAGTCGTTCATGAGCCATACGTCCAGCTTTGCCCACTCCACCTTGATCGAGGCAGTCAGGTCTTCCACGCTATGGTATTGCTTGCCACCATGGTAGACACCGCGCACAAGCATTCCCCACAGGTTTTCGATCGGGTTGAGGTCCGGAGACAGGACTGGATGGTCAAAAATGATGATATTTTCGCCTCTCAAAAAATCCATGGTCTTCTTCACCGATGGATTGACGCGCCATCTTGCATGAAGTTGATTTCGTCGCCGTAGAGACAGTGAGCAAAGGGGAAGAGATAGTCTTGAAGCGTCCAGATGTACTTGTCTGAGTCTTGGTTGCCTTCCAAGAACGCAAGCTCGCTCGCTCCGTCGCTCGAAACGCCCCCCAGACCATCACACTTCTCCCTCCAAATTTGCGCGAGAAGTACGTTTCCTTCTCGTGGCGAATGTCACGCCAGTACGACTGCATACCGTCTGGGCCATCAAGGTTAAATTTCTTCTCATCCGACCATATAATGGTCGACCAGTTGGGGGGGGATTCAAGGTGCTTTTTGGCATGGGCAAGGCGGGCGCGAATGTGGTCATCCGTCAGCTTGGGAGTCACGTTACGCTTGACGTATTCGAACCGAATGCTTGCTTGTAGCATGTAGCGTACGTAGCGAGACGACACAGGCAATTGAAGATCTTGAACAATCGATTTGGACGATGCACCTGGCTTACTCGCGGCCCTAAAAATGTGCCGAGTGTCATTTACCGTAAATTTCGACTTCCTCCCGTGCCCATAACGCTTGCCATAGTTGT